TCATTTTAAAAACTGTCACTGCCACTGCGCTATTGTCTTTTGGGCTTTAATCAGCCGTATTCTGCATTTCGACTAGAATCGAAAATTTCTCCTTTGGCAACTTTGGTATTCTGCGTTCCGTTTCGTTTCGATCAATATTCGACATTTACGATTATACCTATTCTACTTTTCGATCGTAGTTTCGTTTTCCTATGTTATTTTCGTGGTTTTAAATAACAAAATTTTATAAAAATAAAATTAGGTAAAATATATGTACTGTGCATGATTGTAGAAGTCATCATAAAAGAATTTTCTCGATTTCTGTCCCCCTTATTCTAGAACCCGAATTTTCGTAATTCGTAATTCGTAGCTACGCTACGAAAAATCCATATGCTGCAACCCTTGCGGAATCATGTGCAGCATTGCCAGCTATGAGTTGTTTTTCGAAGATAGCTGAATGTAGGAAAACAAAGTGGAAAGGAATTAAAAAACACTCATCATGTGCTTGTTTATTGTAAAATTGGTTAATTTTACATATTTCGAGGAAAATTATGGATTCTGATGTATTTGCAATTATAGCAGCAGAGTAAGCGGGCGCTATTGCAATGGATTCACAAAGGTACGCGGAGCTGTCGGGCATAGTAACCATGGGCGCATCTATGTCAGCTTCTGGTTGAATTGTTGAACCACAAGCCAGAACTCCTCCTATACCTGAAGCTCTGGTTCTCAATCCAGTTAATGCAATAACAGCTTCTTCCAAGCCATAGAAAACATGCACTTTGTTAGGACCACCACCTGTTGCGCTTGCTTCTGCCTTCGGCCGCGCTTAGGGATTATAACCCTTACTAAGTAGAATTCTCCTTTCTGTGTTGCGGGGAAGAGGGGCTTCCACGTGCCAAAGGTATACAACATTTCTTGTGCATATCACTCCGGCTACGTCGTCCACAGTATTTTTGCGCAGAACCCACGTCAAAATTTACAAAAAAGTGCATAGTGCAAACCGAGTTTATTAATAAGTTAGTGGTAGGAAATTAGAAACATTTATCTTAAATAAAATGTGAATCCTTTGATTACACGTGTATGTTAAACTTTTTGGATTCGGGTTATGCATTTGGACACAACAACCGAAAATCGTTGTACATTAACTAAACCTGACCCATGTTTCTAGATAAGGGGCAACAAATAATCTTCTTTGCTCGTTTATATAAAGCAGTGGATAAAAATATACGTATATGGGTGTTTCCATGAAAATGTCAACCAGGACTGAAAAAATAAAAACAACTGAAAAGGGTTTTTAAGACGAATTAATAAGAGAAAAATACTCGAATTTTTATATTATAGAAGTATTTCAGCTTATTGGAATTTTAAAACTCAAAAATGGAAGAGTAAAACTGAATGTCCCTTCGACTCAGTTTTCTCCAATGAAATGAACTATTTTCTCTTTCCTATTAACTAAATTAAGAGATTTGAAACATTAAAATTACATCTTAAAATCAAATTTGCAATAACAACTAACTATAAAAATGGGAAAAAGGAGAAGTTAGAGCTCGAATAACGGTAATTTTTTGATTTGCTTCTGATAGTATTCTAATGTCGCGTACGTTATGCAAAAACATTGTTTGTCAATGTCATTTGTATATTGGCAGTCGCAGGTAATGCAGATTACAATTCTTAAGCGAGAATTCTTCCAGTTAAAGATATACAGTAAAATTTTCTTTCCAACCGAATCAAAAATATATTTTATTACCCTTTAAAGTTTGTCGCATACGTTATTGTAAGTACGAAAATTTCAATCAAATACATCAAAACCAATGTTAATTTCAAATTTTCCATTTAAATTATTTAGAATAGTTGTAAAACAATGAAACGGTGGCGAGAAGAGTTCTCAATAAATACATTTTATTACTTACGAGAAAAATTGTCGCGTACGTTATGTCGCGTACGTTATTGTTTTTTTTTAATAAAAACTAACCAGAGATAATTTCTATCAAAAAATGGAAGGATTGTAAAGGTACATTATTTAGCTTAGTTTAGGAATTTTTAAAGAAAAGAAAAACTCTCATGATTCGCAGACTTTTGCATATATGTATATGTGCCTTAAAACCACTTCTTTTTTTGTCGCGTACGTTATCACTTGGTTTTGAACGGATATTTTCCACACCAAAGTTTCGAGGCTGCTTATTTTTTTCTCAAACGTAGTACCCTTTGGTTGCAACATAACCGTAATCTTTTTTTTTCTGTAACTTCTATTTTTGATAGATTTACGTTACTCTATAAGCGTACGAATGTCGCGTACGGCTGTATGGAAACGCCCATATGTAGTTGTGTTTAATACAAAAGTGTTTTTGTATTTCAGATGATGAAGATGATTCGAGTATTGAGCAAGTTTCTCCTAAAAAAAAAGTCAACTTTGTAGTTATATAAGCGTTTCAAAGACGGGGGTAAAAGTTTGGAAAGATTTTGAATTATTAAAAGAAGCTGCCATACTATTCAATACTCCATTAACATCATCGGGCCCTGTCGAAAGGCTTTTTTCTTTTGCGGGAATTATAAATACACCCAGGCGCCATTCCTTAACCGACTTTTCTTTCGAAAACATGGTATTATTAAAAGCGAATGCTAATTTATAATTCCATTGAATATGTTTGTTTAATTTTTGTGTGTATGAGTAGACGTTATTACGTAGGATATTATGTAGATAATATCTATATTTGTATTCTGTTTTTATACCCGAGCGCACTTGTGCACAAGGGTATTATAACTTCACATAACGGTTGTTTGTAACAGGCAAAACGAATCGAGATAGATATAGACAAATGTATACGTAAATGATCAGGATGAAAATAGAAATCGATTAAGCGGTGACTGTCTGTCCGTCCGTCTGTGCACACGATAACTCGAGTAAAAATTGAGATATCTTAGCGAAATTTTGTACGTGCACTTCCTTCGGATGTAGGACGGATGGTGTTGAAAATCGACAAAATCGGACAATAACCACGCCTACCTCCCATATAACGGTAATTTCCAGAAATACAAAAACTGCGCTATTTTAGTAACTACTGAAGATAGTATGTCAAAAATGGATAAAAAGTTGACTTTTTGATATTTTATGTGTTTTCTAAGAACAATGGCTACCCCGCCATATCCGTCGTCTCTATTTTTTTCTATAACATTATAATTTATGATGTTTCTGTGGTGAGGTTCGTTACAACTGAATATTTCACTAAGATACGCTACGTCGAAATCATGTTTGTTCAAATAATATTCAATTGCGTTTATATTAGCTTTGAGGGATTGGCAGTTGTATTGTAAAATTTTCATGGTCATCTGTCAAAGGAGTTATTAATACTATTTGTCACTATTTCTACCTCTTCTTGAATCATCTTGGTAAAATTTTTCTTTTAGCGATTGAATTTTGTTAGTAACTTCGCCTAGTTGGTTATTTACACAAGCAGTTTGTAAGATGCTGAAACGATCAGTAAGAAGCTTTTCCATTTCGGTTACTTTATTTTTGAAATATTCTGGCCTGTTAAAAACGGCTTCTCTTGCAACTTTGGTTCTGTTTTCTCTACTATTTCCTTGCGTTAATTTGGTTGGTTTATCATTTTTCTGTGTAATCAGCTTTTTAGCTGTATTTGACTCGAGTGAGTTTTTTATTGGTCACTAAATCACGGTTTTGAACCTCATCACCATTATTTTCAGTGAGTTTTGGGAATTCGGAATCGTCTACCGGAAGAAGGTCGAAACGATTTTGACTTTAAGTAAAATATTTTTGTATTTTTTCCCGCCGCAATATGTTTTTCACCGTTCTAATATAATTTATATTACGTTCTTTTTCCCTTACCATGCAATTTACTTTATCTGAGGATTCATGTTCACACTGCCGCATAGAATGCACTTTTTGTTGCAAGAGTTGCTGTCACAGGTCACTAAACCACATATGATGCACCGTTTTTTGGATTTACATGAGAAGCGGGTATGTCCTAACCTCCCACAGTTCATACACTGTCTGAGGGGTGGTATGTAAAAATCAACATTTAGTTTAGTATGGTTAAAAATTATATATTTTGGAATCTCTTTGCCAGAAAACCCAATTTTGATGGTGGTTGTAGGAATGTAAGAATCGTTTTCTGGGTTTCTACGCGTGAAGCGTCTAACCATAGATATGGGTACGCTGGATATGGCATAAGCCTTAATCTCACCGTCCTCACACCATGTTGGAATACCCCTCACTACTCCATAAGTTTCAGCCGCTGTTTTCGGAACAAAGGCTCTTAGACCCTTGTTGTTTGTCGCAGCAGCATTTTTAAAAGTGACTTTATAAAGACTTTTACCAATTGCATAAATCAAATCAAGATCTTTTATTCTCAGATGTTTTATACTATTAAAAAGGGTTAAACCATTGGTGAATTTTTCATTGTACATATCATTGCATTTAGATGAGTCGACTAAGACCAAATAAACGCCAGAAAAATTTGCAGGGTAAAGAGTTATATCCTCATTTAAGCTTGTACTGTTGTTTGTAGCCTCTACTGTATCAATAGTCATGAATGCGTTTTCATTAGCATTCGTCCGATTCTCTGCTACCTCCACTGTATCAGTGGTCGTCGTTAAGCGTTCA